GGAGCATGCTGTGAGTATAGCCTTGGACTCCCCTTTTGTCTTCCCTAGAAAGTTAGGGAATAGTACTAGGGAAAGTCCTGTAAATGTCACGTAAAAGGAGTCGAGCAACTGCAGACAGTCATGAAAACCACAAAAGGACAAGCACTGCAAGAAGAGGAGAGCCCAAAATAATTAGACTGTGATTAGGTCATTGTGGTGTAAGGATGATACAAAGATGAACTGTAAGGACCAGGAGAAAACACAAATCTATCGTTTGTTTATAGCAGTCGTGTGATTGTTCCCATCAAGAATTATCTACCTTCTGGTGTCAGAGTAGTTCTCCTGATTTCATTGTAAACTACAAAAGGAATGAGTCCAATGCTTTTGGTAATTCAATTTTCATTGGTGATGTTTTGACATTTTGTATTTTGCTTTTATCAGATATAGTTACTATTTCTATTTGATGTTTTGTGTAGTGTTTTAACCTGCAATTTAGTTCTTACCTGCTCTGTGATATTCCGTCTCTTGGGTCAGATGTTAACCAGATTGCAGTTGTCACGTCAGTTCTTTTCAAAAGTGTTGCTTGCATAAAAGCTCATAGTTAAACAATTTTCTTTTTAAATTTCTTCTTTTGCTACCTGAAAATTTGCATTTTCATTTTAAAAGGATGTGTTTGCAACTCCTCAAAGGTTTAGGACACTTGCATGATACAATGAAAGACTGAGACTGAATAATTCCAAAATCCAGAAAACAATTATGCTACATTTTTACATTTTTTTATGTAATTTAGAGAGTAATTTTCCCCTTCTGAACAGGTAAAATAGAAAAAAACCAGAGGCCTCTCTGGTGGCTGATAATAAGTAGGCAACAGGAGAAATATAAATGTACTTAATGACAAAACCTACAAGATATGCTGCTACTTCACATGTTTTCATCCCACACCTTCTTGCCCTCCCGTAGGTTCTTTTTCCTCACTGGAGCCTTTTCTGATTCACCCGTTTCAGTAGTAGATTCAATCGATGCACCACTTTTTGGGGGGAAGATTCTCTGCCAGGTTGGTGAACTTGATAGGTTCGCAAAGGAATTCAGCAAATATGAGAATGGTGCAAGGCTGGTGGGTGAGGGCTCCTAGGCAGGAGCCAGGATTTTCATGTTTCATAGTCAAGAGGTTGATCAGTTGGCTGAATCTTCAGTAACTTCGCCCTAAAAGTGCCTGCACTGGTCCTCAGCTAAGCAAAGGCCTTGCAGAGACTCAGAGATGACTTAACTCAGTGCAGGCGATGTAAATATGTACGAAGTCACAGTTCCTGTTTGCCAGACTTCTAAAGCCAGTTGTTAGGTTAAACTTACTACTAGACATTTGGTTGTATTCACCCACGTTGTTTTTCCTGTAGCAAACCATGACACAGTAATGTCTGTGCCAAGATTTGCAAAAGAAGTAGACAAATAGGACTGTTCTTGCTCCTGAGGAAAACCAGCCCCTAAAGGAGCTTTAGAAGCAACAGAAACATCAGCATTGCTTGTCGAGCTGCAGCACTTGTGCCCTGCGGTACAGGGCTGGTCTGTGCCAAGCAGATCACTGGAAGTGACTTCTCAGTAGGTCGTCGGAAAGAGAAATGAGGTGTCATCATGTCAGGTTGAGTAACTGACCTCTCTCTGGTGGTGGTCTCTGTGAATGTATGACCAATACCTTTGATTGTTCAGCAAAAAATGTCTAATTACCTCACTGGAATTTCCATCTCTTGAAAAATTGCACGAAATTGGAGGCGCAGGCTGATGCACCCACAGTTTCCATGCACCTGTGTCCTCTGGCAGAGGTGGGATAGTACTTGGGGGTCTTTTCCTCCTACCTCATATCAGTAGATAAACAAGTGTTAGGTATTTGGAATACCTTGCAGGGTGGGAAAGTGATGTTGCTTGTGGAGGTTGCTGTCTGTAAATGCTTGTCTCAGATACAGAACTGCAGACAGCACATAGTGCAGCACTGTGGTCTGGGGACAAACTGTTTCAAATTGTTTTTGTAGCTAAAGCATCCAAAAAAATTTTTTTTAAACCCAACACTTTGCTGTAGAGGCACGGTCTGGAATACCAAAGTAAACTGCAGCATGGATTATCAGCAAGAGGATTATTTCTTTGGCAGAATAATCTGAATTCTGCTTGTGCTGACTAAAGCCAGCTTCAACAAAAATGCTTTAAAAGTACATTCTTTCTTGAAATCTACTCTTCCAGTGAGTGAAGGGAGGTTGCCTTTACTCCTTAAAGCAATGCAAGATGGAATGTTGCAAGTGTAGGCAAACAGCGACGTAACCTACAGCAGGAAGATGCAGCACAGCAGAGCCTTTGACATTGCACCTTCATGCTCCTGTTCACATCGCTCAGCCTTCAGAAATGATAAGCTGGGAAGCTGTGGAGAATTATAGGCAACTGCACCAGCTCTCGCTTTTGTGTTTTTCCTAAAAAACAAACTGTCCTTTATGGGCTATTAATTTAAGTTGTTTATCTTAGGGCAAGACTGTATTTACAGAGCCTAACATAAGACAGAATATTGTAGCTTGGGATTTAAAAATGTCACCGCACATGATGCCAGGATAAAGAGAACAGAAATGAATTTCGGTTCCATCCACCCTGACACTTCCCAAATTACTTTTTTACACTGCCTCTTGACATTATATTTTCTTCCTATTTGCCTCCAACCAATCCTCTCTCTAAGCTAAAGAAATATATACTGGCACATCAAAATGTTCTTCATAATCATTGGAATGATTAATTAGTATAGCTAGCCCTGTCCCAAAGACTACAGAGACATTGCTCCTCCTTTTTTCTACCTTTGTCTCTGTAGGTTTCTCTTCTTTTGAAGTTGTTTTAACCTTCTACCAAGAAAAGGTCAAGCCAGAATGTAATTGTCCTGAAATAATCTTTACTTAGTATGGTTTCCTAGACTCTTTGGGCAGAGACCTTGTTTTCCATTTTGAGCAATCTGTTTTCTGCAATAAAACACTGAATATGTCTCCCTGTTGCTATAGAAATAATATTGCATTAAATGAGGGAACCAGTGCCCTGCTGTCGACAAATCTAATCTAAGTGTTAGTCTCTGGAGCTTGAATTTCACCACTGGGAAGACATATACATAATTCTACAAATTATTTCTGTAACTTATGCATAAATGTCTTTATACTCTGAAACTGTTAGCTAAATTTCCCAAAGTGATAGCTTGTAGATTAGCATGGTGTAGTGTGTTTACTTATCTCTTAATAGAGCCTTCCCCCTTGCCTTTTCCCCACCTCCCTCCCCCATGGAATACATTTTTGTATTTATAGCTTGAAATTTCCAGCTCTTCACTTGGGAAGGCAGGGAGGGGCAGGGCAAGCAGCTTTCTCACTGGGCTTCCTGCCCTATGGGCAACAAAGTATGTCAGATTTATTTTTTGGTTTGTTTTACATCCAGCTCCTCCAAGTACAAGGAGATGTTATTTGCCTTGTTTGTTTCTAGGAGTAATAAGGATTTTCCAGAACTGGAAGGATGGCCCATACTGACCATGCTCCTGGTACAAGCCCTACAAACCTACCCACCGTCCTCTACTTTCTAGATCCTTCCTAGTGCCATATGGCCAGTATTTCTAAGTTACTCAGAGATCTTGCTACAATAATGTTCTGCAGTTAAAGATGAGTGCTGTGGATTGCCTTCCTTTGAATTGACACACCAATTATCAGATCTCACACCTGTCTTTACATTTAGATATATGAATATGTTGCTTTTTAGTACTTTTCTCAAACCATAAGATTCTAGTAACAGCAATAAGGTGTACGGTATATCTATAGGGTAGAGAAAAGGAATTGAAATACTTTATTAGTTACCAAGGGTCAGTGTTCAGAAACATTAATTGCAAGGATTTTCAAGAAATGTGGATTAAAAAAATCTTCCGTCTCCTACTTACGTGACCAGAGTCCCTGTAATACATTTCTATACATATACATATGTGTAGTTACAAAAATAGAATGCAGTCTAAAAATACATGATGATCGATTTGCATGGACTTGTACCCAAACCTATATTGTAATTCTGATTTCAGAGTTCTTGTGAAAACCCTGCTAAAATTTCTTGGTTAACAAATTCAGTTATTATTTGTGAAACAGGCCCATATTAGACTGTATTGCAGGGCAAAATGCACTTTATAAATGTGCAATTTAATTCACAAAAAGTAGACATATCAGTGACCTCTGTGATTTAAGATTACTCTTTGGAAAATTGAAAAATCTATTATCATTAGAATAACTTTTTTTCAAAAAAAAAAAAAAAAAAAGCTTTTTAAATTTGTTTAGTGATTTTAAATTAATTAAGCCTACCTAGAGAAGGACAAATTTCAGAAAACCAGAAAAGTAACTGTCTGGGTATGCATGTTAATGTAAAAATGAGATGAGGGAAAAACTTGCAAAGTACACAATTACCTTTCTTTGAAATTAATGCTATGCTTATTATTAAAGTGGACTCATCATATAAACATGTCACCACAAGACACTAATTACATTTTTGCTGTTAAAGTAGTTCTTGTAATGAAAAAAAAAAGACTTAATTCCTTTGCAGTAACATAAAATATAAACCAGATTTAAAACCTTTTTTTTTTTATCCTTGATAAAAGCTGACTTGTGCCATCCAATATGGCTGCATTTCTTCACCAGATTGTCAGTGTGTAGATGATAAGAATCAGACCCCAAAGCTTTTGGTGCAAAACACTGACTATTAGACTACTGTTGCACTGTCTGTTGGTTCCTATCCAGAACCTCACTTAATGAAAATTTCAGAAAAGGCTGAGTACTCGATAAGCAGGAGGGAAGGGATTTTCTGGACGTACTATATTAAAGAGAAGGTATACATGTAGTCTATGTTCCTGCATATTACCATGATCACAAATCTAATGTCAAATATTTCTTACTATATGTAGTATTTCCATTATCTAAAACAAACAATGAAATTAGGAAAAGCTATCATAAATGATAAAACTTTTTTGTTTGTTTGTTCTATAGGATCTCAGTGGAGAAAGGACCAAGAGCGAGATTTAAAGAACGTTCTGAAGAACACTGACCAGAATATCCCATTGGTATTTGTTAGTGGAAATCATGATATTGGCAATGCTCCAACAAGAGAAACAATTGATAATTATTGCAAGAGCTGGGGAGATGACTACTTCAGCTTTTGGGTTGGAGGTGTTTTCTTTCTTGTGCTAAATTCTCAGTTGTACTTTGATTCTTCCAAATGCCCAGAGTTGAAGCAAGCCCAGGATGTGTGGCTTAATGAGCAGCTGGCTGTTGCTGAAAAACATAAATGCAAGCATATAATAGTGTTTCAACACATCCCTCTGTTTCTGAGAGAACCCGATGAAGACCATGATTATTTCAACTTGGAAAAATCGGTTCGTCAAGAGATAATGGAAAAGTTTCATAAAGCAGGTATTTTCTTGAATTTTCCTCTCTCTGATTTTTTTTTCCAGTTGTTAATCATTGCACTGCCAGAAAAAAATAAATTTAACTTGCGTGGTACTGTTTTTAGGGAATTTTAGATTTAGATTATAAGCCTCATTGTTACTCTTAGGACAGAATTATCAACTGAATCTAATCACCTCTCAAATGCAGCAAAAGAAATTTAAAACTTTGAGTGAAAAGTAAAGAACTGAAAGTGAAAAACTCTTTAAGACAAATAACAAGGATTCCATTTTGCAAGTGCCGGTATATACAAGACAACCTGAAATTTTTCTACTGAAGGAACAGAAGATCAGGTATTGCCATAGGAGTAAAATACAGAAATTATTTTGCATAAAACAGAGAAACAGAATTCAGAATTACCTTGGAGGTTGTTTTCTCCCACACTGAGCCAATTTTAAACCAAGAGTGTAATGTGCTCCAGATTTATTCAGTGTTAAAAAGAGTCTTGCTCTGCTAAGATCCATCCTTTGTTTATCCAAACTAATAGGGGCCATTTCTGGGATGAAAGGCAGGTGGAACATGCTTTGAACGAGAATATTGTACCAAATCCCTTAGCTTTGTTTGATGAAATTTGAATGCCGTGGAGACAGATACAGTATGCAGCTATTCCTCTGTGCTGTTCCCATTGTTTCCTGTTAATTGCTTTCATGTTCCTGGAGTGTGCTAGTCCCTCAAAATTTCCTGCTAGCCTGCCATCGCTGCATCAGAGTGTCATTTTCTCTGTATCTATAAAAGAATACGTTATTTGGATTACTGAACAATGGAAATTGCTTATGATATCGTTCATAATTTACCATATAATTGTTAAGCCAAGACTCATCCAAAACCAGCCTAATTTCCAAGCTCTGAATCTCCTCCTGTTTCCAATCAGTAGGGCCAAAATTTACAATTATCTGAGGGCTCTCCAGGGGACTGACATATTTGCAGATTCAAGTTTTACAAGATTTTTTTCCCCCTAAGGAGACGTGCTGAGCATACCTCATAATATCTTAATACAAAATGTAAAGATACTGGTTTGGGACGCAAGGAGGATTTTGGTTAAGACTTCTGGTTTTATTGCAACAGAAAGGAGATTTTGTTTTCTTTATTTAAAGAAAAACAGCAGAATTATATGGTTACACGTGGAATGAAACTGATAAAAAGAAAGAAGAAAGAGGTAAGAAGTTAACATAAGTTGCAATATGTGTGTATATAAGCAGGCGCGTATGTTAGTTCCATCTTGAACCATGAATCTGTACCTTCTACCTTTTTTCCCTGCTTCACTTCACACAGGTTTTTTTAGGGTTTTGTGTTGTTGTTTTTTAAAGTGCTCAGGGCAATGGCTCTTAAGGTGTTACTCCCAAATCTTGCATAATGTTAATAAAAATGGTAAATAGAAGGAACCCATATAGTAAGAAAATAAATAATCACTCCATGATAGTTGCTCATTTAATTCATGTATTTTCATTGAAAGTTTGAAAAAAGAAAACATACAGGTTTGCATACAACATTTTTGCTTTGACAAGATTTGCCTGACAGGTAGGAGCCCAAAATTTAATATAAAATATTTGTGCATTTTTCTTTCTCCAACTTTTCCTATGAAAAAGAAAAATGTACCTACCTGATTATGGTCTTTTTGTCTGTTCATTTTTGTGCTAGTGATAATACAGTGGGAAATATTTCTGTTGGAAACCTGGGCAGCTAAATGCTTATGTATTGTTGGTAAAAACGCATCCTAGTCCATTAGAGAGTGTGTTAGCAGAAGGACGCTACCATGCAGGTGTATGTAACGGAGCATTAGAGTGGAAACCAGAGCAGTTCTGTTCTAGAGTTTTCTGACATCCAGATGGCTTGCTAACATTTTGCAACACTCAGCACTGGGAATATAATTAATCAGAAGAAGAGAAGAGAAATTATGCAAAATATTATCATTGTAACATTTACTATTGTTATCATGCTTCTTATGGGGATATTTCAGACTATTTCTCCTAATGAGTATCCAGGGGGTTAATCAAAAGTCAAAACTTTTTTCAGACAACTCACGCAGGCTTCAAGGGAGAGGGAAGAGTGAATGGGAAGCCAAGAATACGAGACAACTCCCGCAAAAAAAAAAATAATCTGAACTTCTTTGCGCGAACATCCCATGTGTTCCTTCCCTCCATCATTTCCCACTGTGCCCCTTGCTCCCACTCAAAAATCCTCCCCAAATGGCCTGTTGTTTGATTCCTTCATGAATATGTTAATACATTGATCTTTTCCTTGCTGTTTTAGACAACATTGAGGCAATAAGTAACATTTGCAATCCAATAATTAAACGTTCTAATTAAATGAATACAGAGAGCAGCAGCTCAGTGTTACTTGGAGTGCTGGGAAAAATGAGCTGCATCAAAAGTTGGCTCAGAGTTTCCTTAGTAACGGGTGCATTTGGCTTCCATTTTATTATTCCTTTGAAGAACGGTCTTTGTAAGACCACAGAATGTTATCAGTAGATTACAAAGAGGCAGTCAGCATGGTAAGACAAAAAATTGGTTCCTCCCAGTTCACTTCATATATTAATGGAGAATTAAAACACAGCATATTGACAATGAAACCCCAACTTACTTTGCATTTGTTGGGGTTTCTTTTGTTTTATGACTTGCTGTTTAAGAAGGTTAACCGCTTATAACACGTAATTGAGAAGTATGGTACAGCTTTTTATTCTGGAAAAGGCAAGGCTGCCTTCATAATGAGTCTCCCACTATTCTCCTAACCCTGGCCTGACACCAGCCCATCCTTCCTTTTGTTTTCTCATTCTCTATCTCTCCCTTTGCATCCTGGCATGATGCTGTTTTGCAGTGTTTCCAACCACTCTGAAGCATTATTGTGTAATTGCAAAAAAAAAAAAAAAAAAAATCAGTATAATCAATGTAATGTGCATGTTCTAGGGTTTGTTGGTTTTGGAAATGCAAGGTTAGTAGATGGGCATTGTATTTCTGGTGTTGATAACCCAGGATCAGACCTGGAACTATCCCAGTTCTCTTGCTTATACTTTTCATGTTCATAGTGTCGAACATGGAGCCATAATGCATCTGGTTAGAGAGAGGAAAGGAAGAAAAATCTAAGGATTTCAGTCCTTTCATAGACCAAGAAAGTCATATGGATTTTTATAGGAAATAAAGTGATACTTAAAGGATGGATGGGAGTATTGCACTGGTTCTTCAGAGTGAGGTATGCAACTTCAGAAAATGATTATTTTAAATCCTGAGCCCAAATCTTATGTAGTTACTCCCTTCTGACCACTTACATATTACAGAATGCTTTTGGTTTAAGTATCCGCTCATTACAAGCAGAGATAAAAGACTAGCTGTAGAGGCTACATCTGGTACGAAGTACTGAATTACATTTCTCACATTAAAAGTGTCCTTAACAGTTGGGCTAATTAAAGATAAAATCATGTCCTTATGATAAATATTTATAAATTGAAAATCTGGTACTTGTAAATATGTATTACTACTATGCAAAGTTAAACCATACTTGTAAGCTGCATGTCTAAGAAATCTTCTGAGTCCAATTTTTCTTCAAATGCATTATAACAACCATTGTCCATGAAAAAGCAATTTCAGTGATAGTGAAAGTCAACTCAGTTGAGAACATAGTTTATCCTTTAAGTGAGAATATGTCTCTGAAAGCATGTTTGTGTAATGTTTAGCCCCAGTTGGTAAGGTTCATCTCCTGTCTGTGCAGAAGCTAAGTACAGGAAAAAAAGCCAGTGTGTGAGTACTGGGGATGAGCTGAGCTAACATCCTTGGTGGTGAGGTTTGCTCTGCTGCATGAATTACATATTCAGCTTTTAAGAATTTTATAGCAATGATATAAATAGGTTTGCTTGTAGCTTTGAATGGAAAAAATAAGGAATCCAGGTGGTAGTCCAGCCCAAAATCTGGCCTGTATGACATGTTTCTTTGATAAACATTAGAAACTAGTTTTTAAATAAGCAGTTTATCCAATAGAAGGCATACTTTGTCTTACAGATCTCATTCAATTATAATTTTATTAGGCTTTACAGACTTTTTCTGTGACCAGAAAAAGATGAGCTATGGACAATCTTTTAAAGACTTTTTATCCTGAGAACCATCAACAACACACTGAAATTTCTTAGGAAACTTAACACAATAAGGACCATACTGAAGTGAAATATTTAAGCAGATGTCTGAATAGCTTTAAGACCTTTGTCAGATAAAACCTAAATTACTAGCTGGTTTCTTCACCAACAAAGTTGATAAAAGAATTTGTGGTTCAGAGTGCTGTGAAGAATACAGGTGGTGTATCTAGGTGAGAGACTTACGAATCTGAGAGAGAATTGCAAGATAATAAATAGATGTAAAATAATAGAAGGAAAATCCCTGCAGCATCTGGCTTTTTTAATTGAAGAGTTCTAAATTCAAGATGACTTCAAAGCAGTTTTTCAGATGTGGTAGAAAGCACTTAAATTCATACATACAGCATACATACAGAAGAAAGTAACGACCTAACTTTATTAAATGTCTTTTTGTCATTTTATTTGTGACTGGAGATACTGTAACTTCTAACACCTTCACTCATTAAGAGAGTGTAATACCTACCTGCTCCTCTTAGAATGTTTTGACAGAAGAGTGGTATTAAAGGGAGAAGCAGCTCTCTGAACATCTACGGCTGAGATATATTTGAGTACAAAATTAAAGCATGGAGTGCTGAAAGCTGTTGTTTCTAAAATTTACCAGACAACATATGTTATGTTTCATTATTTTCTTTGTTGTGTAATCAAAGTTGACAAGGGAGTAATATTTTCTTCTTCCTGCCATTGAGACCTTGATTTTGGCAAAGCCCATACACCAAGTGAGTAATCTCGGTGCTTGCTTATGTGTTGCTTTGTCAGTATTTAAGATAATTTAGATTTAAATACTCTCAGCTTCAGTGTTTAGCTCAAACTCTTTCAACCTTGAAATTATATGCTCATGGTACAGGTAACCAGTTTCAATATCTTTTGTGTATATGTGTAAGAATGGTGTTTTTTAAGACTGCTCCCCAAGTAAAAGAATATTATCTAGCACATAGATACACAGAGACATAGTTTTTTTTCTGAAATTCAGCAGTGAGATGCTGCAAAATACAATTATTTAGCGTAATCCATAATGAGAGATTAGGTAACATTTGTTCTTCCATAAATTTTTGACATCTGTTTTCTCCATTGGGCTGTAGTTTGGTTACCTTCTTTTCACTCCTTAGAGCACACAGCAAGCCAGGATCATCTGGGCTTTGTATCAGATCTTTGAGAAAGCTTCATTTTCAAATGGAAAATGTAGCAAAACCAAGAAATAAATTCCACCGAAAGGTCACAAGAGGCATTCACAGAGATAAACCTGAAGCACAGAGTGACCTTCTACAGAGAGCACCTCTAATGGCTTATTTAGAGCTGCAGTCTCGTTAGGTGATCTGAAGTCACCCCCTGGCTGTGCCTGCTGCCTCTCCTCTGGTTATATAGGAAAAACAAGTGTGACTAAGGTCCTTCTCTATATAGCTGCATTCAGTGGTGTCCTATAAAAAACTACTTCTGTCATAGATAGACTTTGCAGACTAATAGCTTGTCTCCCACTTACATAGACCCACAGATTTCACCAGGTGCATCAAGCTCTGGATTTTTTTATTCTATAAAGTGCATTTAAGTAAGTTTTCCTGCATGTTTCTAGGGTCATGTTTGCTAACAACAGGCAACAGTGTGGTATTTTTTTTATTAAGATGCTCGTGTTGCTGAGTTGTAATTCTAATTACACAATACCTCTGATGAAGAAGGTAGGATAGCTTATAAGGTCTGCACAGAATAATTCTACAATGGTTATTTAAGGTTGATTCAAATGGTGATGGTTGATTTAAGGTATTCCCTGACACCTACCAGTGGGAATACTTCCTTTTACTGGAGTTCCACTGTAGGGAACTGACGGTGTTTTTTGGACAGCAGGGTCTGAGAACTGCCTGAGCACTGAACAGTCCTGTGAGCACTGCTGTGACTGACGTTTTCACATCTTTGTTTGCTTCTGTAACACCTGTTTGGCAGATGGGGTGATGTGAACACTTCTCAAATTGCAATGAGATAAAAATCAATTTAATTCCACAAGAGAGATTTTGTTTACAAAGACTACTAAATATTATCATTCACTTTGTAGCACTGAAGTCTTGAAAAAATGATATACACCACCTGCCCAGGGAGAGGAAAAAGGTACAGCAAAAAGTGCCTATGGTTAATGTGTGCTCTTGTAGGGAAGCTGAAAGAACATCATTTTGGAGTGCAAAATTGTTCTGAGAACAGGTATTACTGTTGAACCGACCACACTGTTCAGCACTGTAAAAAGCTGCTGTATGCTGCAAGTGAAAGGAAGGAAAAAAAGCCAGTTTGTGCCTGATGCTCTAGGGAAGGTGCTCAGGATCAATTTATCCTTGTGACTTAAATCATTGTATTTGCCCAGAAACATTGCCTTTTTAAAAAAGATAGATATCTACACATGGATGTGCGTGGGAACATATACACAACCTGAGTCTCTTACAGTAGCATCTATCTGTGCCTGGATAATAGTTGATCTTGTTCTCCTGCCCATGACAACTCTGAAAGGGTACCGAGGAGTGTTGATAACATGCAGGTTTTTCACTGAGTGCAGTTGTTTCTTTACAGAACTGCTTCTCCATCTGTTTGCTTCCATTTTGGTTCTAGTGCTGTTCCTGTCTAGCCCCTGCAGTTTCAGGGACAAATATGTACAGGTTCAGTTTTTCCCAGTACATACCCTTTCTTCAGTTTTTGAGCCAAGAGGTTTGGCCTGGGAAGCTTACGATTTTTCAACAAGCATAATTCTATTTTAAACTTAGTTTCAATCATTAAACTTAATAGCTAATGTAACAGCAGAGTAACTAGACCAGAATGATTGTTCCTGTTGCCCACTCCTCTGCTGCTCTTTCGCAAACCCTATAGCACAGGACAACAAAGTGCGTAATGATACTTCTTCCAAGTATTCTTCCAATCTCCAACAATTTTTCTTTTAGGGACTTACTTAATCATATTAGTTTTATCAATACGGTGCTATTTAGGGGTTCTTCTGTGGATTTGTTGAGTTGACTTTTCAAAACTCTCGGCTTTCACAGTGGAAAGGAGTTTCCCATTTCACAGCTGGTGCTCTGCGAAGAAATGCCTCCTCTTGTTTGCTTTGAACTTCACCTGCAGTCTGTTCTGGGAGCCATAAATCCATAAATGAAATGCAGTGACCATTGGTTCGTGTCTGGAGTTATTTTAAAAAATTGTTCATTAATCAGCACTTAAAGGGTGGTAATCTGGACCACACGATAAATTTTGTTGCCCAGTCAGAACTACTTTTTTTCCTGAAATCTTTACAGAGTGCAAGGGAGGAGAAGAAAGGTCTGTACTGTACTCATTACATATTTATTATGTCATTCATATTCCACTAATTTAGCCTTCTCATTCTCTTACAGTCTCATTTGCTTTTGCTGAGAAAAGCATTTATTTAATTGAAGGCTCAGTCTAAATAAAGCATGCTACTGATTGCCTATGCTGATTATTCCAGGCATTCTCTTCCTAATTTGGAAAATCTGCTTGCTTTTCTTTGGTTTATTTTTATATTGGTAATTTTCTTCCTATATTTTTACACTGTCCATAGTGCTGGGTTGAGCAGTTTGATTTCCAACTGAGAGTAGGCCAGTTGCGTTTTGGGCACAGAAAACCTGCTTCAAAATGGTCTTTGTATGTTAGGAACTAGAGTTGGAAAACAACTTCTTCTGAATTCAGGATTTTTTGGAAGCAAGCCATGGAAGTATGTGTAATTATAGAAATTAGATTCAGACACCTCTGGAATTCAAACTAGTTCAAGTCTGAACTCCAGCCCAGTATCCAGGTTGTGTGAGAAAATTTGTTTTCTAGGTGCACGTATCTTCATGAAATTATATTTAGTATTTCAAGATAAATGTGCAATACGAGCATCATTTTCCATCCTGCTTTAGCTGATTTGGACCTCTGCAATCAATGCATCTAGATTTCCTGTGAGACTGGGACTTGATTTGTATTTCTGGAATTAACTTGAACTAACGAACATCCAATTTTCAAGAAGTTAGGAAAACAGATGTACTTACAAAATCATAGTGTTGCATTGAGATTTTTTCCCTCTTTGCTACCCAAGCTTTCATACGTCATGCTAGTCTATGCTATCACATCAAATCTCATCAACAGTGTTACATGCAATGTTCTGCTATACTTCATTTATTCCTATAAGCCGTTGAACTCTACCACTGTAAGAGCTCAGGCTACCAGCAGCCAGAGACTTTTGGCAACATTCATGACTTGGTACAGGAAATCTTGCCAGTAAAAATAGGTGATTTTTATTGAAATACTGCTCCATGAGAAGACAATTGAAGCTTGTGACAATACTTCAACAGTGCAAGCTTTCAGAGAGGTCTTCCAAAGAGACACTGAATTTTACTTGTTTAATTTTTAAATTGGGATGTTTGAAAGCACGTGTGTCCTGTCCATGCTGACTGTCATCTCTGCTGGGCTCTGGTGCCACGTTATCCCCAATGGCCCCGCACCAACAAGTACCTGGCTGCCTAAGGGTGATTTCTCCTGCAGGGAGAGGGACATGGCCACCCTCTCACTCACACGTGAAACCTTGGGTTTCAAACACGATTGTCACGTAGTCCTGTAGTGCTCTTTCCCCTTACTTCTGCCTTTATGGGGAAGGAGAGAAGACCAACCACTGTATGTCTAAGAAAATATGATAAAAGAATGCTGAGAAAAAAAATACATTGAAGTTCGTTGGCATAATGTTAAGGAATGTATCTGCTGTCTGTTTAATAAAGCAAAAATAGGTCATGGTGAGCGTTTCACTTTTCAAGTAGAGGCATTTTATGATTTAAGTATTCCTTGAACTGAAAGATTGGTAAAAGGAGAGATTGAAAAAGATGAAGTTGTCTGTTGGGCCTCTAGGAAGAGGTGGGGCATGGTCCCCTTTCCTCCTTGCCCCACGTGGAGTTGAAAATAAGCCCAGTCTTCTGTGTCACTGCATTATTCTACACTGCAGAATACAAGAGCAGTGCAGTAACAAGGAAGGGAGGGAAGTCTGGGGGCTGCAACCTAACAATAAGTCGTGACCGGGACGTAATCACTCTCATAGGAATTACACGTGACACACAGCTAAATGCCTTTGTTCTCTTACAGTGCTGTTATGTCAAAATCTTGCTGACCCCTTTTCCCTGGTGCTGCAGAACTGTTGTTTGGAAGGGTTTCTCAGAGTGCTAAAGTATAACTTGTGGAAAGAAGATGCTGTACTTTTAAAATTCTTTAAAATAACCTGAGCTTCTCCGGCTAACCAACTGCCTTCTGTGTGATATCCAGCGTGCAGTTTCTTTTCATTTAATGAACTGTTTTCTCATCTGATTCTTGTCAGAAGTAAAATCGACAGCATGCTAAAGATGTTGGCATAGCTAAAGTTTTCTTTGAAGTTTTCCAAAATTTTTTACTATCACTAGGTGGAGCAGTTAGGACACCACTCCTTTCAGAACAATATTCTGCTCAGGTCATATGGGGACTCAAATGATGGTCATCAAGAATAACCTCTTCCAAATCAGAGCTGCTGCACTGTGTGAAGACCTGACAGCTGTATGCATCAAGTCATCCCTGGGCCTGGTTGGCCAGGTCATCCCTTTCTGTACCAATATTTTCCGTGAAGCAACCAAAGCAAATTTCAGATACTCATTTGGATGTTTCCCCAGCATGCCAATCAGTCAGCTTAACAGTATCCATTACACCATCCCTTTAGGAAAAGCCCTTTGTAATGCAACCTGCTGTTCTAGTTCACAAAGCTTGAAGAGAGAACTACAAGAAAAAGAGAAAATGGGAAATGCCAGTAATAGTTGTCAGTCTTACCAGAGCTTTGAACAAAGATCAACAAGAGCTTGCTGAAGCTCTTGTAATGACTGCTTACTTGGTGTGTTGGCTTTAGAAAGCAGACACTGGAAATAATGGGGGAAGAAAAAAATCTTCAGAGGAACTTTTGGAATTTTCTGTTGAGAAATGTGTGCAGTAGAAACCACAGAGTATAAAACTAAGTACAAAGTGACTTGTCCTTTAAAGCACAAGTCTGCATACAAATGACCATACAGATAGCATCAAAAGCAGCATGCCCAGTTACATAAGCTATTAATTACTTTCCCTGGCATTCACCTCTTGCCTTAGTTTATCCACTATGTAGCTTTACAACCTGAGGGAATGGGTGAAGTGACACAATGCAGGGTGTAAATACAGTAGCGTAAAAATAAAGTATTTATTAACTTGTGTCATGTCCAAGACAATGAGGATTTATCAACACATGTAAGACTTCCCTCTAGTCAGATGACTCTGAACAATCCTTAAGATGCTTGTTTGTTATGTCATATAAATTATTTTATGCAAAATCGGCTGCGTTGGACTCGCAGAATTGTGCCATAATAGGTATTTCATTCTTCGGTACAAATGCATTATTCTACGGGGAAGAAAGGTTATGATCAGTTCTTTGGAAACAGCAAATCTTTTTGTCTTTCAGATTCGGCTTTGTCAGATCAGAACTGAAAAGGACTTTTTGTGCTTGATCAGAAAATGAGAGTAAATTGCATGCTAGGAGGAGGAGATCTTTGCTTCACAAAAATCATAATCAATTCCTGTACTTCAAACCTTTTTTTTCTTTTAACAAAGACATTAATTTTTTTCAGATCGATGACTCTGAAAACTCATGTTTGGTTTGCAGGACTGAAGCTCATTGTTTTTAGATGCTTTTGTGATCCAAGGCATGGTTTTAAAACAGATGAAGCACAACATGATGGCCTGCACTGAGTTTTCCATCTGGAGTAGCTGGCTTCCAGTCGTGTACTGATCAAAAATGAACGTGTCAGCTCAGGCCTTTTTTTCCGTGGTAGAGATGTTACCACTGTAGTGTCGTGCAGTGTAGTATCTGACTGTGATGATCACAGAGTTAAGTGTGTGGTTTGTTTGTTGTTGTTTTGTTGTGTTTGTTTTTTTCTTTTTTCTTTCTTTTAGTAGTAACTATCTGCACAGTTTTTGACTTTATTCTGAACTTAATCTGTTTTGTTTTTTTTTTTTTTCTTTTAATGAATAATCCATTAGGAGTGAATAATGTCTTGCTGTAGGGATCCTGTTCTTTTGGCTAATGGATCTTGTAAAACCTTCAGTCACATTTAAATTCAAATCACTGTATATTTCCTAAAAATTAAATAATGAATGCTTGTGAGGGTGCCATCCTTTGGAATTCAGTTACACAGTGGCTTTTGAGTATTTCATATTGCTTTTATATCAAAGCTTTTCTCATCTGCTTATTTCAGAAGTCAAGGATGAAAAACAAAATTACTGTTCTACCTACCTCTTGTTTTTGTTTTGTTTTCTTTTTAGTGGGAGGGGACTGCACCCATTTGTGCATAGCTGGATCTACTGAACTGCATTAACTGACCTGCACACGCCTTAAAGCAGGTTATTACAGGGAGGCCTGCCAGGACAAACACTGCTCTTTTCTCACAGGGATTAGAAAATGGGTTTTGTGTGTGAGGGGACTCGTGAGCAACTTGACCGTATTACTTCAGAAAAACATCTGAAATGAATAAATTAAATTTGAGTGCATACATCTTAAGATTCTTTTTATGTTTAAGATCAAAAGCAAGAGCAAAGTAAATTGCCTGCTTGTCATCTTAGTCTTGTTGCATTGACTGGTTCAGATTTCCTTCTTATGCTAACAAAAGTGAAGGGAAGACAGTTGGGTGAACAAAAAAGTACTACTGAAGTAATAAACAACATCAGTTAGACTTCTATTAATACACAATAGTGACCTGTTTGTTTCTTTGTTCAAGATGTAACAGATTGTAATACCACAATAACAAAAATTAATACTAGCACTGGAAATAAAGAATACCTGAAGTCTGGGCACAACTTTCACTGGGAGGTATCAAAGGCAGATGCTGAATTCTAGCAAAGGCTGATCCTTGAGCAGCTCGTTCCACAAGGACATTTCAGCACTGAACACCCATCCAGCGAAATTAGGCCCTGAATGACAGACGTATGCTAAAATGGGGAATTTGAATGAACTGTATCCATAAACACCAGCTTGTTTAGACAGTCTGCCTCACAGAGCCAACAGGAGGTAAAAGGTTTTAAATTGCATCCTCTGTTGTGAGGTATCATATTTGCACTGTTTATCAATCACTCTTATTTCAGTTCTGTACCAAAATACCTTCTTGTGTGTAGGCAGGTAGCAGATGTTAAACATAAGTGGGGTGAAGTTGCAATATTTGCCTTAGAAGAAAAAAACCTGCATGATTCATGGGCCAAACTTCTTACCTGGTGTCTGCCTGCTGTTTTTGGCTAAAAGGTCGAGGATGGGTGCCTCAAAAATCTTCCCATGAGTTCTCAGATAATGGGAGATTATGGTTGTCCTTAGTAAGGTTGCTTTACTGCTTTTGTATCCTTATCCTTCTAATCGCACTGAAACCATGTGTTTGGGGTTTGGTTTATGTATGTGCTGACACAGTCTTGATTTCTGTTCCTCTTCAGTTCCAAAGGTTAAATTCTCTGAAAGGTGGAAAGCTGAACACGATCCTTCCAGTTAAAAGAGAGCACTTATTTCCCTTACAAAAGCACTTACGCTTCACTTACAGAGTGTCACATGGGGCTTACATCTCACTACGGTTTTATGATTGTTATTTTGTCCTAACTTATTCACAGACTAAAGCAGTTTTGCTTACCTGCAGAAAAAGTGGAAAACATTGAAACAAATTCCTGTTTCCATAGTAGCACTGTCACTTACTAGAAGCGAGTAAGGATATTTTACGGATCTAGCTGCTGCAGTAAGAAAGCAGGCCAAACACTTGGTTCCTAAATGTTCAGTCCTCAAAGGCTGAGCCACAGCTTAACGCTGCAGGTAAAGGCCAAGATCCAGCCAGGTCCATGCTTATTGTGTGCCTGAGGGAGGAGGCCAGAGCATTGCTGGAGATCTTCGGTTATTTGTGGAGTGCTGTAAGGACAGGAAGGTGCTATACACATGGACCCATTACAGCCAGCTCTCAGATGAAAGCAGGCTGGTTTTGCTAAGCCTAGTGTGTCCTCTGTCCACCCCACAAGTGCCTTGTTCAGAGGATGCAGCAATGCAGGAAGCAGCCCCATCTACTTCAGCATCCACTCCTCCCAGGTCAGGGCTTGCTCTTTTAAGGGCATTGCCACAAAGGAAGACGGGTCCCACTTTAGCAAGAAGGACGTCATACTTAAAGTTCCATGAGGCTGAGTTTTGCTGTTTATTGGCAAGCAATGGAAGGAGATCCCCAGCCATGCCCTAAGCAGCTCTAAGTGGCCACGTGCTGCCTGTCACTGCAGGAAGGAATGGTGGGGCTGGAAAGTGGGGAACAAGTGTAGCCTTGTGGCTGGGCTATGTGTGTGTTATGAGAAATAAATGCTGTGTTCTGTGCCTGAATTGCTCAAGTATGTTACGTTAGGCAGCCACTGTAATAAGCTACAACATGGAGGAGTTGAGAAATGACTCCTCACTCTCAAACTGACTATCGCATCGGTTTTAAAACATCTTCATATGACGATTCTAAAGATCCAAATAATACAGAAAGCGCAGAATCTGCAAAGAGCCCGTTATGTCACGCCATCACCTTTTGAGGTATTCTATTGGGATTTCTCCCAAGGGAAAAAAAAAAAAAAAAGACAAAACGGTTTTGCAAGGTTCCTGCCGCTGAGTCAGAGCAAGCTCTCCAAGTTACAAGTGTAACTCTCACACCAGCTAGGTGAGTATGTCACATGGAGCGAAAAGAATCAGTACCAATGAACTAAACTAGGAGAACAGACAAGTTCCAGCTGGCAACAACCTTCATATACCACTGTTCAGTGTAAAAATTACTTCATTCTGTTTTCCATCTTGAGTCATTTGCTATCTGGGTAAGGTTTGGATTTTGAAATATGAAAGCCCATGTAGCTTTTACCAGGCACACAGAAGAATAATTTATATTTTGCTTTCCAAGCTGCTTAATTTTTAACTATAGGTTGAGCCTACTTTATATATTTTACATCAGTCATCAAATCGACTATCTCCTATGAAAGAAAAGGACAGATAAAACCAAGTTTGTTAAGAGAGGTCACCTACTTCCCTCTTCATTTAATCATGGTGAATTAGGTCTAAATTACTGCAGGAGAAAGGGTGCGGGGTGTTCTGGCTGGGGAGATGAGGATCTTCTATAGTTGTGTTCCTAGGCACAGCTCTTTGCCTTTGCATTGCATTTAGTCTTTGCCAGAATATCTGCTGTCTGAAGGCAAAAATCAGTTGTTGCTAGCATTTTTTGTTATGCCACGGTTATAGTAACACAAATGACCCATTTGCTGGCCTACCGCTTGAATAGCACTGAGTGTGTCTTACCTTTTGTGGGAAGCATGGAATGGCAGATTGCTGGAATATATGAAACAATAACAAATGAATCTTGGTGTCCATCCCTGCACATCACTGTAGGTTCTGCTCAGTGTTTTATAATTACAAAAATAATGCTTTCACCTGTACAGTACATGGGATCATTAAATGCCCCTTATGTCTTGCTAGAGATAGAATGCAACAGCATAAGCTTAAACAATTCATTTCTCTGCCTGTGCAGCAGAGATTTCAATTTTTTTCAACTTCTTTGACATCCTTCAGCTTTTTTATATAGTGAAAGTTTTACCATTTGTAACACAGTTTAAACACAAAGATATCTCATTATTATCTTCGGGTAATAGTTTCCTTCTTAGACACAGTGATCTTTTGGTGCTTGACATGCAGGTATAAGGGCATTTGATTACATCTTCAAAACTCACAAGCGTTTTTAAACAACGATCTCAGATGTACCCTTCTTTCTGGCTTTTCTGTGTAAGGCTGGCAGGTGGAGCAGTGCTAGCTGCCATCAGGCAGCTCACTGCCAAAATTGAGTCTGGATTAATCTTTGGTCACATTTACTGTCCAACTATTGAAAACAAGCAATGCATAACCAGATTTAGAAGGAAGTCTCATGGACTATGGCATGTATTTTCTAGAAAGCCACATGGAACAAGTAACAGATCTTACTTGGAGAGGTAGTCTTGTCAACCTCAGCATGGACTTACTGGATGAAATAACTAAATTATTCACTGTATTACTCTGGCTCTCTGAAAAGCTGGAATTTCCCATGTCATGCTCAGAAACTGCAGGAGGTGGTGCAACGCAGGTGATGACAAGGTCCTCTGCAGCAAGACCAGCTACACACAGCCTCTTTTCCTTTTTTCCTTGCTTTAGTCTTTGATACTTTGGTATTTAGTCTTTGAAAGATTAAATTTCATAAAATAATCGGTTATCCTGATAAGGTGCTTGCTGTTTAATCAGAGTTGTCAGGGAATACTTACATGTGTTTCTTGAGTCACTCAGTATTAACAATATATTTCCAGGTGCTTTATGAAAAACCATGGAAGTGTCATTACGATTAAGGATTACACAACCTCTTGTGTTTCAATAGGGAAATTACATCTAAATCATTCAGGCACTTTTGAAATTTTTTTCAGTTGTCATTAGTAGTATCATAAATCAATAGATCTAAATGCTTCCTGCAACAGTTTTAAATATTAATTTATATGTTTCATACTTGATGACAAACAACAAAATTCCTAGTATTTTCAGCTATCCAGTCTAGTAATTTTTCTCTTTCAGACTAGTATAAAATAGCATTAAACACAGCTTCAGGAAGTTGTGCATTCTGAAATCCAAGGATCTTAGACTGAGCATACCAAAAGATAATCCCAAAACCTGTTTGTAAAATTTGCTATTTATACTTAGCTCACATTTTCATTTCACATGTAAATGACATGATTGCAGAGAAAAAAAAATGTGATTGTAAAGAAAAAAAAAAAATCATATTGCCCCATCTGTCACAGGTATCAATACTAGGATTTTCAGATATCATATCTAAATTGGCATGCAACTTAGTCGCCTTTTGCATCATCCTGGAAAATAGAATAATATAAATATTCTTAAAAGAATTTCAGAAATCTTTTCAGAAGCCTGTTAGCAGCTGATGCTGTGCTTACTTACAGACCTTTGTTCCTATCAAAATAAAATATGTACCATCTTACATTAGCAAGAAAGCTGAACAATGATTTTTTTGCCTAAAAATGTGGTGTATGATGCTCAGCTGTGTATCCAGCAGTAGCTAAATGCTAAAGGATGCTGGCTTAACCTGGAAGGGAAATGTTTGTCTGTGGTATCACTGTCTTTCTTGTGAAGAACCTAGAATCTCAGCTTTGTTATTAATGGTTTTACAAACTTTGATGTGAAAGATAAGTAATTAGCACTAAAATATGTGTTTTTTTTCCAACTTTTGTGACTCATGAGCCTAATCAAGGTTTCATTATTGCATAGCAATAAAGTGATTTGATTAAAATTTATAAATCATGAAATGGAGAGGGAAAAATAATCTATCTGGTATCAGGACTTTAACCTGAAAAGACAATCAGAAAGGCCATTCAGAGCAGTGAACACAGATTCTACCAGATTTTGTTTTTCCAAGACAGAAGAAAGAAAAGTTCCATTTTGGAGATGAGGATGACAGTTCCATCTAATTTGAAATTGTTTCAAAAATTCTGCAAAAATTCCATGGCTACTGAGAAGCATGGCAGAAAAGCAGAGCTGACATATGGGTGGGTCACCTTTGGAAGATGGTCAAAATCAGATAGCATACATGTATGTAAACCTAATTATTTTTTTGTTGAATTATTGTGTTCTGAGAGAACACAATGGTGTGGTGGTTGGACTTTTTAAAATCAGTTAGAATGATTCAGCCAAGGATTTCAAAGTACACTATAAGGCCTTAAAAATAAAGTATGCTTGTTCCTTGTACCTGCTGCTGCTTGTCATTTAGCTTTTCTTTACCCCTGACCAATCTTGGATGATATTTGCATGCTACCTACCCAGAAACGTTCAGTGCAGCATATTGTTGTCTCCTTCCTCAGATCAAAAGTATCTCTTTCTTTCAAGCTCCTAACAGAATGATTTTTATCCCAGTACAATGTAAAATATAAATAGCTTATAAAAACAAATAAATAAATAAAGCTTTAAATCATCAAAGGTACAGAGGAAATTACAATAAACCTGCTTTGTTTGTACCCTGTACTAGGTAAATGTTAATTCATGTCATTGCCATTCCTGACTCTTGCAGATCATCAACCTTATCTTTTTTGGGTGCTCTCATCTTTCTTCTCTGTGTTATTATAACTCACAACCTCTTCTGCATATTAGGTTTCTTTCATGTGTCTGGATTTATTCCATCTGCTATAAACCCTAAATATTGTCTAGAATAGATTACAAATTATCTTTTTATCCACTTTTCTTGTTTGTCTTGACTTTTTTTAAGGTCACCAGCCTTAGGTAAATAGGTTTAAATTATCCTTAGTGATTTTTTTGCATGTTAATTGTCAAATATAGCTACACAGTCCTTAGCTTTCAGCTCATGTTTCAGTAGCATCATTTTTTAGGCAGTTATTAATTACTGATTTTTTTTTTCTACTTTTAATCTGCTTCCTCTAGAGTGTTCCTTCTTTCTAGCCAAAGGATTAGCAAGATGACAAACACCTTGCAGCAAGTGTAACTAACTCCAGTAACCCTAACAAAGCCAGTGGAGCATAACATCATTCCTTTTAATAATTATTTATTCTTTATTACAATTACAGTTATTTCTTGCTGTTTACTAATTATTTGTTTTAAATGCAAGTTCAGGTAAATGGTTTCCTATTAATTTTATGCTTTATGAACTATTAAGGACTGAAGAACACCTGTAGTTACCATAGAATTTTCTCTACAACCCCACTAGCAGTGTAAACCTCAGCAGTATCTTTTAGGATGAACATATATATGAACTGTAAATGCTAACTAAATATATGTTCTTTTGTTCTTTTGTTCTTTTTTTTTCTTTTTTTTTTTTTTAACAGGCATTAAGGCTGTATTTTCTGGACATTACCATAGGAATGCTGGAGGGTCCTACAGAGGCCTGGAAATGGTGGTTACATCAGCAATAGGATGTCAGCTGGGAGAAGATACACATGGGCTTCGAGTAGTTGTTGTGACAGATGAAAAGATTGTTCATAGATACTACAGTTTAGATGAATTGAGCAGCCAAGGCATGGAGAAGGAGCTGCTGGATATGCTTGCTAAGCAAATTTAGGCTGTCAAATCCCTTTTAACTCAAATGGTTGATGCAAGTTTTGTCTGTATTTATTAGAATAATAGAAAGAGTGTCTACAAGGTGAAGTCACAGATGTACCATGCCCATGAACTGTTCTCAGTTTATTTCTGTGTTGACATATTTCTCTTTTTGAAAATGAGGCCTCTGAGGAATATGGAATAACAGAACTAATATGCTAATGTATCATTGAAAAGATTTCTCAGTTCTGAGCATTTTTACTTACCTCTTGGATAAGACTTTCTTAATAAATAGAAAATATAACCAAGAGTTAGAGTAGTACTTCAACTCAAGTCTATTTTCATTTGATGTTTGAAAAGACACTTTAAAATCAATAAATTTAGTCACTTCAGTTACACTCTGGACAATACAAATGTGACATGTTTTTTACTCTGTAGAAATAAATCTCGAAAACTCAGTGAAATCAACAGACTCCCACTGACTTTTAGCAACCTTTGAATCAGATACTGTTACCCAGAGGTCATGTTTTCTCCCATTTCCCCTTCTTTCAATTTCTTAGCTCTTCAGAGCCAGCAGCAATGGGAGAGCAAGCACATTCTGTTAAGTGGAGTCACAGCTT